TTTCCCATTTGGAGGCTCAACCAGAAGTGAAGCTGCACAAATGTCCCTTTAACACAGAGACACAGAGACACACAGAGGACACCGACACAGCCAGCCACTTGCACTGCCAGAGAGGAGCTGATGTGTCGGACAGCACCCCCACAGAGGACACCCACAAACACAAGGGCAGTCAGCCCAGCCCTTTTGTCCTCCTGGGCTGGCAGAGACAGAAGGTCACTCCTGCAGCACATACGGGACGCTCTCCAGGTTCACAAGCACACATTGCTTTGCGGATCCCCCAAAAACTGGCATAGCCCCTCTCCCTGCCCAGCACCCTTGCCTCAATCCTAGGCCCCCTTTACCTGCCATGCAGGTCCCCAACTCTCTGGCTCAACCAACTCAGCGCTCAACGCAAACACGCAGTGCTCACACAGTCACCCCACAGCACCTCACACTTGCAGGTCCCCCTGGGCACACCAGCACAGACTCTGACTGCCTGAGACCCCTGGCCTGACCCAGGGTCTCCCGCTGGCTGACTGTCCACCTTAGAAGTTTGCTGGTGATTACACACGCACACTCCACTCTCACCAGGCACACAGGCTGTGACCTGTGATCTTGCTCCAGCCACCAGTGCTGATCCACTCACTTGCCTCAGTCATGCTGGTGACCTTCAGCAGCTGTTTTTGGGAGGTTTGGGAAGTTTCCCACCCCAGCTAGATGTGAAAGACCCCCACCTACTACAGCTGCTGGCACCTAGAAATCATGTAGTTTGCTAGTGATGTTTAAGATCAGAGTCAAATCATAAACCTAACACTGCCAAGTCCACCACTAAGCTGTGCCCCAAAGTGCCACATCTACATGTCTTTCAAACACCTCCAGGCATGGTGACTCACATGCACAGGATAGAGTGAGATTACACAGAGAGGCAGTTCAGAGAAGATTAAATGGGGAATTAGGACAGACTGTGGCAATGAGGCACATGGCTCAGCCAGACAAACCTACTAACAGTCCTCAGTTTACATGTTACTGGCCCCTTTTCTACCTGTTTCAGCTTTCTTCCTCCCCTGCACATTGTCTTATCAGTTTGCTCAGTCCCACTGACTCCCCTCCAATACTGCAGACCCTCAAGTCTGCACCTTTTCAGTTGCAAAGTCCTGCTTGCCTGCAGTTTCTTGAAAGCTGTTGTAGTTAGTGTGACTGATGAGGTTGCCTTCTTGTCTTTGTCTCCATTACGTCTTGCCTGTCAGATCTGTGTCCCCATATACTTCATTGCCTAAGCCTTTTTCTCAGTATTCCATTTGACAAGGTCCTCAAACAGATAATCTTACTGGAATAAACATTCCTGCATTATATATACCCTCACCAGCTAGTGTGACTGACCAGGTTTTGATTCTCATTGTTGCCTCTCTTATTACCTGTTGTCCAGGTCTCTCTGTGTTCTTGTTTATGACTTCCTCTTTTTCTTAGTATCCCCTTCTGTGCTGATAAAGTCCCTGAGCAGACACCTTCAAGGAGCAGACACTCCTGCATAATCTTACAATTAGAACACAATTAAAAAATATTATCACACCGTGTTACAACAGAACAGGAAACAAAATGTAGCAGAAAAAATGAAAAAAACCTTTATTTTATAGTCATACGAATAAAAAACAATCCCCATAGCTGTATGTGAAATAATATTAACAGTGTCAAACATGACAATTCTGACATAATACATGTCAGTACTTTAAACCACAGAAATCTTATCACATATGCTCAGTAGAAATAGTACTGTGCAGAAATGAAGCTCTCTGTAAACACTTTTCCTTTATTTTATCTACATTTAGAACAATTGTGCTT